TATAACAGTATAGTTTTATTTTGTACTTCTCTTAACAGTGAAGTTGAACTTTTATTCTCAGTCTATGTCATTTGTATCATTTTCTGTGGAAACTCTGTTTATAGTTTTGGATCTTTTTCCTTTTGGACTGTTGAATTTTATCTTACTGAATTTTAGGAATTCTTTATATATTAAAATATGCATGCTATGATTTGCAATTTTTTCAAATACGTAATTTCTTTTTGCTTATGGTAGTTTTTGTGATGAAGAATTTATTTTATATAGTGAGATATGTATATATATCACTACATTATTGTAAATTTGTAGTGCATACCATTTTTATTGCTTCTGGATTTTACATCAAATTTAGAAAACACTTCACCACACTAAAATCTTTTAAGATTCTCCTATGATTTCTTCAAGTATTTTAAGCTTTTCAGTTTTCACATTTAAAACTGGATTTTATTTTGGTTGAGGTATGAATCCAACTTTTATTTTTTCCTGCAAATAGCTACCCAGGTGTCCTAACACCTTTTAATGAATAAGCCATATTTCCTTCACTGAATTGAAATGTCATCTTTAGCTTGTGCTAACTCTCCATATCTGGGTCTATTTTAGACCTATTTGATTCTAATGATCTGTCTAGTTATATGCCAGTACCACACTTTTAATTACTGGAGTTTCTATTTTTAATATTTTGTAAGACTTGTCTGTCCTCACTGCTTCTCAGAGCTTTTCGGGCTAGTCTTTTTTCATAGGAACTTTGGAATCAGTTGTCTAATTTTAGAAAATCCTGGTATTTTTGAGATTGCATTACATTATAGATTAACTTAAAAAGAACTGGCATGTATATGTTGGTAAGTCTTCCTATCCAAGAATATGATATGCCTCCCCATGTTTTTGTGCTTTCTTTCTAGGAGAAACATAGCTTTCTTTTTGTGGTCTTGCATACTGTTTATTACTAGGGATTTTCTTCTTTGTTCTTACTTTAAAAGGAGCTTTTTCTTCCATTATATCTTATAATTGGCTGTTGTTTATATAAATGAAAGCTTTTAATTTCTGTGACCAATTTTATACCCAGTGACTTTGTTAGTTTTAAGATACTTTCAGTTGATTCTTAAGCTTTGCACTATCTTCTACAGATACTAATTTTACCTCCTCCCTATTTAATGTCTCTAAATTCTCTCACATCTATTAGATAATTCTCCCCTAGCATTTTAAGTTCCTTGAAGGCATGAATTATAGTAGTACATTTTATATATCTATCTGAGCATCAGTAAAATGCTCTACATAAAATGTTAGGAAAACAGAAATACCGAGTGCCTGCTAAATTCTGAATCTGCTTATTGATTCATACCTCTTTTGTCAGGTCCTACTTTTAAATGAACCCAAAACTGAAATCCTTTGAAGTGTCACATACATATTTTGCAACAAAGTAGGCCTTTTAGCTACAATTTTTTTCTTGAATTTACATATGAAATTGCAGGCAAAACCTAAAATTTTTAGTCTCAGATTTGCTTAAACATTCTTGGTGAAATTCATACATTGTCTATAGCAGGTTTCCTAAAGCAATGTATAATTTCATTTAAAAATTACATATTTTAGGTAAAATGTGAGGTGGGAGGAGAGAATAGCAATTAGAGCTTAAATCAAATAGATCCAAACCAAACATATTTACATGCATGACAGAAGACTGAATTCTATACACTATACAAGAAAATCAGTCTTCTTACTTCACGTACAATCTTACGTTAGAATATTTCCAAACTATACCAGCTGCCTACATAGCAAGGATAAATCAGTCATGTGTGCATCTTAAAGATACTACGTCAGTAGCTCCACTTGATAAAGCAAGTATTTCTTCCCCAGGCCTGTGCCACTACTATTGGCCTTAAAATCTTTGAAGGGGAGAAACCACCCATGCCACTTCTTCAGTTAAAACATTTTCAGGCTTTAAAATATTAACAGTGGATTCCGTTGTGGTGGTGGGGGTGAAGGGGAGCTTATATTGTATAGCTTTTAGACAAGATGAATAATTTTTCACCCAGGAAACAGTAAAAGGTCCTCAAAGTATCATCAAGTCCTTGCCATGTCATTTTTCCTTCACAGGACTTTTATATTTTGAAGAATTGTCACTAGATCATTACAATCATTCTTTTATGAATTAGTGCAGATGAATTAATACAGATGAGTATGTTACTTCTTGCTAACTCATGAAATAGTTATTTAAAAACTGATGATTTCACTCTATTTTCTCCCAAAAAGAGTCAAGAAGGGAACCGATAATCTAATTTTTAATATCCTTAAAAGGCATTGGAAAGATTATCAGAAAATCCAGGTATTTGTTAAGCTATCTTTCTGGCCTAGGTCTTCAATTTCAGATAGGAAAAAAGGGACCCATACTCCTCATTTGAAAAGTGCATTTAGAAATACACAACTTGGGGTGCCTGGGTGGCTCAGTCTGTTGAGTGTCAGACTCTTGATTTTGGTTCAGGTCATGATCTCACGGTTTGTGGGTTTGAGCTCCGCATTAGGCTCTGCACTAACAGCATGAAGCCTGCTTCAGATTCTTTCTCTCCCTCTCTCTCTGCTCCTTCTCCTACTCTCAAATAAATAAATACATAAACATTAAAAAAAAAGAATACACAACTTAGGGGCTCATGGCTGGCTCAATTGGCATGTGACTCTTGATCTTGGGTTTATGAATTCAAGCCCCACAGAGAGCCTACAAAAAAAGAAAGAAGGAAGGAAGGAAGGAAGGAAGGAAGGAAGGAAGGAAGGAAGGAAGGAAAGAAAGAAAGAAAGAAAGAAAGACACACAAATTATACTGTGATACACTCTCCAAATTGGCCTACTATGACTTAGGAATGGATTGTGTCGTGGATTATTATCTGGCGACAAGATATCATCTGTTAAAAGCAAAGAAAACAATACAATTGCTTTTTAAAATTCATTTTTTTCCCTAGCTTTAATAAAAAGCAGCCGTCTAAATAAGCAAAAAGCATTTGTTTCTTCACTGCTATTACAAAATTTGGAAAAGCAATTTGGGCTTAAGGATCACTTAATTGTCCCCTTGAAGCTAGAAAATAAGTTATTCTATTTTAATTTGGCTTGAAAATGTATTATTTGCAAGACTCAAAATCATTCTGTCCAGATTTACCTTAAATTCACTATCAGCTTCAGCTACTGTCATCTAATTACCTCACCCCAAAAGTTTGACATGTACATATCTGATCAAACCCAGAATGTGAACACGTGTGCTCAGCTGACCTCATATCTACAGATAAACTACTTACCTCCTAGACAATAGGCAAAGTCATCTTTCCCCATCTCTAAGCTCTAACTCTAAAGGAAGGCTGGTTCCTCTGCTGTATGTGCACTGGGAACAGAGCAGGTACTCAATAAATGAGTGAAAGTGATAGAATAGTCATGATGAGCAGAATGTGTTTTAATTTTTTTTATAAGACCATCCAGAAACAATTAACAAAATCATGTAAACTGCTGCTTAATTTCCCCCTTGAATTATTTTCATTATAAGTCAAATATGAATAAATTTGTTGTTCTGGGGTGATACACTTAACTTTGTGTCAAGGCACTCACATGCTAAGCTAGAGCTTAACAGTGACAGAAATACCTGGAAAGTAATTGTGGGGGATAACTGTAATGCTCAAGTAAGATAATATGCTAAGAGAACAAGGCCAGCTCAGACTTACACAGGTATTACCACACTCCTCTTTCCCAACCCTATTTCCACAAGATATAGAAACCAGTGACTCGACTTTCCCAGAATGCTAGTTATTCTTCAAGCTTAATTTATGATAAACATAAAACATATTAAGAATCTAGTTAACTTCTAGTTCAAGAACTGTTGCCACTGATTTAACGTCCTTTAAAGAAATATGATTCTGGTTTGTTCTCGGTAAATAGGTCAGTTGGATTGAGGTTGGAATTTGATATAGAGGTTGATTTCAGAAAACTGACAATTCATAAAGGCCAAATATAAATAAAAACATATATGAGAGATACAGACACATACCAACTGTTAACAATTGTTACCTTTTGAGAGGAATGGGGAGGGGCGCCTCCGTGACTCAGTAGGTTAAGCTCTTGACTCTTGATTTTGGTTCAGGTCATGATCTCAAGATTCGTGAGACGGAGCCCCGCGTTGGGCTCTGCTCTAACAGCGCACAGTCTCTCTAGCAAAATAAATAAACTCTAAAAAAAAAAAGGAATGGGGATGGGGGATGTTGGGGGAAGGGAAATCTGAAAAGGCACTGTTCTTGTTTTCATTAAAGACAGACCAAACATAAGTTTTAATTTTTGGTGCCATGAAGTCTTGTTATGTAACTATTCCAAGTTGTGTAGAGACTTGTTTTATCTTGCTCTGTACTCTTTCCCTGTCGGCTATACCTTCCCTCTTTTTCGTTCCCTCCCTCAAATAAAAACCTATTCTGAAGACTGCTAAATTTTTGAATTGTATATATTGTCAACAGTAGGCCAAAAGTAATGTACTTCAAATGAATTATAAGCAGATGCCTTTTTTCCCCCCGACTGTTCATTTATTTTTGAGAGACACAGAGACAGAGCATGAGTTGGGGAGGGGCAGAGAGAGAGAGACAGAATCCGAAGCAGGCTCCAGACTCTGAGCTGTCAGCACAGAGTTCGACACAGGGCTCAAACCCACAAACTGTGAAGATCATGACCTGCACCAAAGTCAGACACTTAATCGACAGAGCCATCCACGTGCCCCAGCAAATGCCTTTCTAATATCCCAATTCACATGCTTAAGGAAGACCCTGATTCTGTCTAAGCGCTGGCTTGCATCTACATTCTAGGAGTCTAGTGAAATCTACCTAAGTGACAAGATTCCTTTTGGGAAGGTTTCATGGAAAGTCAGAAGTTATCCTGAAAGGCAAACATCCCAAAGAGATGTGACAGAAAATAAAATGAAAGTATGCATATACTGACATAACAGTTCCTAAACATGTTGGTGAGAGAAAAAAGCAAGTTGCAAAACATACGCGTAGTAAGACAGAATTTATATAAAAATTTAGAACCCACAAAACTATGTATTTCTATAGGTAAATATATATGTATATAAATGCACAGCAAAAAGGTAATTGAAGAGTATATACTACACAGCAATGTTTTCCATTTGGGAGAGGGTGCCTGAGGGGCACTTTCACAATATTTATTCTTTTTTTCCTAGAATATATTCTCAGATAATTAAAAAAAATGAGCTTTTACATTTCTAGGAAGTACTACATGTGATGGTTTCCTTAAAAGAGCTTGCTACCAACGATACAGTTTAGCAAATACCACTGTTGTCTGTATTTCAACATTACCGTACTTTATCTCTGCTGTCCCTCACCTTTCTCTCATTGCTCTACACAAGCTCGAACTTAAGGAAGTCATATTAGCTTTTTCTTGAGTATTTGATAATGAAGAGATGATACAGTTGTCTGGAAGTATCAAAATCAAGGTGAGAACTGATATACTGGGAATAAAGATAGACAGGTTCATCTTTTGGCTTTAATGTAAAGCACTTAGAAATACGTGCAGGCCTCCGAAGAGGACAAGATGCTTAAAGAATAAGATTCTTACTGGGTGTGCCATGTAACATCAACTTGCCATGTTAGTGTATCTACTGAAAATTTGTGGTAGAAAGGCTAATATTTAAAAGCACGCTCAGCTTCTCAGGAGAGATGATACATAAATCAGAGAGCATACGCAGTGCTAGAAGTCTATCAAATTAAAGTGGTATTTGTTTAGAAGAGAAGCATTGTTGCTTGAAAGTGGAAACTCTTAAAAGAGTATTTTTACATTTTTTCATTACATATGATTAATATTATAATACTTGCATTTAGGAAAACTTGCTCAGAATTCTGATTGATTTGTTTTCTTTGCAAAGGGAAAAGACATCGAAGCCAGACATATATGTAACATGAATTTTGGTCCAAATACATTATTGTTTTTGTTGACTGAAAATTATAGAACAGCAAAATACTAGAATCAACGCCTATTACAAAATCAAGTGAATGTATATATTCAATGAATCCCAGCTTTTAGTTATTAAAACCTAGGTAATACATTTTGAAATTTAGAAAAGAATAAAGATCTACTTAGTCCCTGTACTTTAGACATTATCGTAAGGCTCCTGCTGGTTGCAACTGATCTACACCCTTTTCTAGAAGATCTCAACAGCTTTACTAGCCACAAAATATGTATTCCCTCTTTGCCAGACTGCATCTATAAAGAAAACTATATGGCAAACGGAGGTCAAAAGATGAATTTCAGAAGTTAAAGGCACAGATCAACATCTCACTTCTGGAGAGAATATAAGTGGTAATTATAAGGATAAATTCTATTATTTGGAGATAACATCAATGATCTAGATTCCTGGTAGCATTTACAATACAGAAAATTGCAAATCATATTACATAGTATGCCAATTCATTTTGTGTATGTTCTAAATATATGGTACAATGCATAACTTGCCTTATTTAGAAATGATAATGTATTTCAAAACAATTATAAAAATGTCAGGTTTTAGAGTTTCATATCTACCTGACTTCTAGTCTACTCCTCACTAACCTCCTGTCATATATCCCAAATTTTATCTTTTCTTGCTGAAAACCTATATCATTCTTCTTTCTTACTCTAATGCCAAATAAAATGTAATCATTAATAACATATAGCTAATATTAAAAACAAACAAAAAAGGACTTCAATTTAGCTATAACAGCCATAGCTTTAGGGTGTTTTCAGGTGATTTTCCCAGAACAAAACAAATTCAAACACTCATATTTCATACAATCACATGATGCTTTTTTTTTTTTGAGATTGCTGTTTACCCCCAAACTGTTGCAATATACATTTTTAAAAACAATGATCTTCCTCTATAATCACAAAGCAAAACGAGATGCAGAATACTCATCATCATTACAGAAACGATTGTATACTTTTAACATAATATTCAGGTATTTTTAATGACTATCTTATACCAATTTTTAATTATATATACTAAATGTATACACTTACTAGCTGAAAAATATATTGGTTCTACCTACCTACTACTTTTAACATACAATACAACAACTCATGTCTTCTTCCTAATAGTACAATTCATAAGGACAGGAACACAAAAGATATGTTAAAGAAGTGAAGAAAGTATCAGAGAAATTTCCTCAGCCTTAGTTTCTCATCTCTTTATCTCTCCTTTATGCACATACTGCAATTGGCTGGTCCTCTTTCATTCCTCCTTCATCCTACCTAGAGAACGCTCAGACTTTAGAGCAAGGACAGGTATTCCCTATTATTTATTGTTGCTATTGAATTAGCTTAAATTACAAGGTGAAAAACAGAATGAAATGCTTGAGGTTAAGAATGATAGACAGAAACTAAGGGAGAGTAAAGAAAAAAATATATGGAGAGTGGTTGTACCCCATCAATAATTATCTGGCAACTTTGGAGCAGAGGTTCTTATCTGGACTTAATATCATTAACATAGGGTCAAAAATTGAGAGTACAACTCTTCAATTATCAGGCTTTATGATTTTACTTTTTGAAATCAAGCTCAATTTCACCTCTCATTAGTTTAAAAAACAGTTCACTCTGAACAAGAGCTTCTTTCCCATCTGCACGTATGATAGTAGAAATGGCAAGGCTTTCTTTACTACCTGTGGAAGAACCAGAAGAGCAAAAACAATTTTTCCTGTATTTATACTCATGATTCCTCTGGTCTCCCATGATGCCCTGCATAAACACAAACTTCATAGGAAACTGAGAGACTATACAATCAACAAAACAAAACAAAATAAAACAAATGTTAGCTTATCTCTCTGACTCTTCCCATACCATCCTTCCCAAACACACACAACAGAGAGAACCGTGTGTTGAGTTTGGGAAGGAGAGGAACTAAAGAAGGTAAAGTGAGGGCTCACAGAACCCTTAATACTAAGTTAAAATTTTAACAGCACAGCATAAAGGTGTCAATCCATTCAACTTTAAACCCATTTGGGAAACCTTAAGCTCTTAACTTAAAAATATGGTAGTACTTCTTTAGTAACTATAACCTCTTCACATCCTCTTAATTGCTCATGCCAACGACTTTATTGCATACTACTGCTTCTTGTAAGAAGTAAATCCAGGAACCATTCCATTTTATCTTAGACATAACATTTACTAGTTTTCCAAGCATGACAGAAATGGAAAAATATATATATTAGAACAAGAACAATGTATGTTAATTTCCACAATTTGTGATCCTTCTGTGAGCACTGTCTGATTCTATTAAAATTAACAAATTTAAGTTCAGTCCTATGCTTAGGAAAAAAAAAAAACCTAATGAGACTAATTTACAAAGTATACAAGAATATAATTTTATAATAAATCTTTCCAGTGTTTGCTATAACCGCATTACATGAAATGTTTCCCTTCACAGAAACTCAGGACAGCTCTTATAAAATGGAACAAACTTTTCTGTGTTCATCTGTGGCAAGCAATGAACAAATACAATTTGCTCACAAGGATTTAAAAGTGCTGCCCCAGGAGCATGAACTACCCATTAACATGCTGTATGAATGAGTCTTGGTGAGTGGCAACTGTCTGGTACCTCTTCCTCTCTTCTGACACCAGTGAACCCATCTCATATAAAGCCTAAGAGAAAACTAAAGCCATTGCAGAAGTGAAATTCAGCATGCTCCACTCAAATACTTCTAAGGTAACCACTCTAAAACAAAATCAGCAGAATTCATCTCTTTTATCCAAAAAAATCCCCCCCAAACAAAAATAAAAACAAACAAAAAAAGCCCCCCCAAACCCCAACAAACCAAAAGGCAAATGCTGTTGTTCAATCATCAGAAAGACTTACAGAGGCAAAAATATGACAACAGCAATAATTCAAGTAAAGTATATGTGAAAATTGAAACACGCCACTTTCAAGTTAAGACAAAAGTGAAGGGGAGCTATGATCTTTATGTCAGAGTCAAAAAGCTTAGGCATTATCACCAAATGTTAATTCACTTTACAGTCATCAATGAGACTACTGTATGTAGTTTTGCACCTTGCGCTTTTAAAAGCAGATAAAATATTTAATATGTAATTTTATAATGTATTTTACCAGCTCAGCATACAGGTTGTATATAGATTATATCAAAGTAGTAGACAGTTAAGGGGCCTGTGCAAACCCTGCAAAAATAGTACTTCAGGTATCTGCTAATTTAAAAAAAACAAAAAAAAAGAAAACAAAAACAGTTTGCTGTTTAGAAGTGATACAATTCAAACTACCACAAAATACAAAGGGCTGCAAAAATGTATACCATTCCAACAACATATATAAGTTATTAAATAAAGATTTGATTTAAAAGAATATAAATGAAGCCTTTAAGTAGGTCTTTTCTACATGCATATTATTCCTTATTAAAGAAAAAAAAATATGTAAAAAGGCCATTGGTAATTGCTTTGTTAACATTTGTAGAAAAATGCCAATTCTCTGGTCACAAACTCCACTAAGTTTAGCACTTAAGGTCTCTGCAGTGTTATAAACGTAATTTAAAATACTGTTAATTCTATAATTCCATTGGTAAAATAATGTGACTTGGAATATGGCAGTCTTCATGTTGAGGGCAATGATCCACAGTTTGTTTGTTTAATCTCTTAAGTGTGATCAGTTATCCAGAAGAACAGCACCCTCCGCCACCGCTCTGGGCTTGAGGTTCATCATCAATAATCTGTACACCCCGCCTTGTGGCTCCTGGTTGACTGGAGCCATTGCCTTTTGCTCTCTCATCCACTTGTGCTGTTTCTATCATCCCTAAGAGAAGGAGAAAACAGAAATTTAAGACCACAATCTATGAATTTTCTCTTTCTATAATTTCAGTATGCCACCACAGTAGCCATTTCTGACTTCCAACCAACAGGAAAACTAAATATAATGAACATTTTGTCAGCTCACTGAATAGCTTTTCCTGCAAGTTTAAAAAACTTAATAGCAACTGCATTTGTCCAGTTGCATAATGGCCACAGTGACATCAAGAGAGAGAAAGAGGTTTTTACTTTGAACAAATGTCTGTATACAAGTAATACCCTCAAGATTTTCTAATATACTTGGCGATATGTCAAAGTTTGTATTATTCTGGGGTGCCTGGGTGACTCAATCAGTTTAGCACCTGCTTCAGCTCAGGTCATGATCTCATGGTTCATGAGTTTGAGCCCTGCATCGGGCTCTGTGCTGACAATGCAGAGCCTGCTTGGGATTCTCTCTCTCTCCCTCTCTCTCTGCCCCTCCCTCATCACACCCTCTCTATCTCAAAGAAAAAAAAAAAAAAACTAAAAGAAAAAATTAATTAAAAAAAATAGTTCATATTATTCTAAGTACAACTGATATTTAGGGAACAAGATTTACTCGTCAACAAATAATGTAATACCTTTATGCAAATAATATTTGAAAGAATGAAAGAGTTTAAGATGAGGGAGGAAGAACAGAGCTGAAGACTCATACTATCTAACTTAAAGATATAGCATATAGTTACCCCAATGGAGAGTGAGATATTGGTGAAAGGAGAGCTCTAAAGATCATGGAGCAGAGTCTGGAAATAGACCCCCACATATATACTCACTTGATTTTTTTTTTTTTAGTAAAATTTTTTTTTTTTAACATTTATTCATTTTTGAGAGACCGAGAGAGACAGAGCACAAGAGGGGTGGTGGGGCAGAGAGAGAGGCAGACACAGAATCCAAAGCAGGCTCCAGGCTCTGAGCTGTCAGCACAGAGCCTGATGTGAGTGAGGCTCAAAGTCATGAACCATGAGATCATGACCTGAGCCAAAGTCAGAAACCTAACTGACTGAGCCACCCAGGCGCCCCTGGTCACTTGATTTTTGATGTACGTGCCAAGATTATTCAATGAAGAAAGAATAATCTTTTCAAGAAACAGTATTAGAACTGAACAGTTACATATAAAAAATAAACCTTGATCTATCTATACCTCTGACCGTATTCAAAAATTAAAAAATGAATTATGAACCTAGATGTAAAACATAAGGTGTGCACAGTTATCCAGAAATATCTAGAAAAAAAACATAGGAGGAAATCTCTGTAGGAAAAAAATCTTTGTGATTCTGATTTGGGCAAAGATTCCTCATAGAATGAGAGAAAAATGACAGAAAAAATGACAAATAAGACCTTATTAAAATTTAGAACTTCTGCTCTGAAGACACAGTTAAAAAATGAAAATATAAGGCACAGATTAGAAGTAAATATTCACAAAATATGTAGAGGGAAAAACGAAGAAAGAAAAGAGGGAGTCCTTAGAACAATGGTTTCCAAATTTAGTTGTACAGGAAAATCCAATGAGATGAAATTAGAAAACATTACAAATTCTAACTTCTACTTATTTTTCTTCAACCTTTCAAAATCTCAATTTTTTGTTTTACAAAAATGTGTAAAATATATGAGTATTTCTGTATGTTCAATAGTTTTTAAACAAGCATATTAGAAATACTCAAATTTTTTTCTAGGAAGATATATGAGATTTATAACACTTCTAAGCTATAGAGCTAGAACCGTGGTACTCACAGTATGGTCTGAGGACCAGCATCATCGCCACACGGGTGCCTGTTACAAATGAAAAGCTCAGGCCCACACCAAACCGACTCTATCAAATATGTATTTTAACAAGATCCCCAAGCGATTGATATGTATACACAAGCAGCAAGAATACAAATAAATTCTCAAATTTCAGTGTGCATCACAATCATATGGAAAAATTGTTAAAACATAGATTTTAGGTACCACCTCCAGAAATTTTGAGTCAGTTGGTTTAGTAGGGCAGAAGAATCTTCATTTCTAAAAAATCTCAAGTGATACTGATGCTGTTGGTCAGGAGACCTCATTAGAGAATTAAAGCTCTACAAGAATTATGAATGACCTTCAGTTTTTTGTAAAACTGAAATTTACTCCAAAGTTTGTGTTTATGTCCATTTTTCTAGAGACAAAAACCATAGTTTCATCAAATTCTCAAGAGTGTGTGGTCCATAAATTAAGGAATATAATTTGACAAAATCATTTCAATCCAATATTCCACAGACTAGGGTTTTCCTAACTATGGTATACATTCTATTGGTGATAAACATTTTCCCTTCTCTCTTTTAAAAAACTTTTTAATCTGAAAAACTTCGAACATAAATAAAAACAGAAAAAACAGCATAATGAAAATCCTTATGTCCATCATACAATTTCATCTATATTCAGCAAGCATCCCAAACACTATCTTTTTTTTTTTTTTTTTAACATTTTTTTTTTTGAGAGACAGAATGAGACAGAGCACGAGCTGGGGAGGGCCAGAGAGAGGGAGACCCAGAATCCGAAGCAGGCTCCAGGCTCTGAGCTTGTCAGCACAGAGCCCAACGCAGGGCTTGAATTTACAGCACTGAAGATCATGACCTGAGCCGAAATCGAATGCTTAACTGACTGAGCCACCCAGGTGGCCCCCTACCACTATCTTGAATCAAATTCTAGACACATAATTTTATTTATAAATTATTTTAATAAGATCTCTAAAAAATAAGAACTCTTTTTTAAAAAGAACTTTTTTAGGGGTGCCTGGGTGGCTCAGTCAGTTGAGTGTCCGACTTCAGCTCAGGTCATGACCTCACAGCTCGTGAGTTCGAGCCCCGCGTTGGGCTCTGTTCTGACAGCTCAGAGCCTGGAGCCTGCTTCGGATTCTGTGTCTCCCTCTCTCTCTGCCCCTTACCCACTGGCATTCTGTCTCTGCCTCTCTCAAAAATAAATAAACATTAAAAAAAAATTTTTTTTAAGTTAATATTCTTTAAAAAATAAATAAAAAGAACTTTTTAAAAAAGCAGAATCACAATAACTATAATCACAACTTAAAATTTTTATAATTTTAAAAATAAAGAATAATTCAATTTACTTAAACTAAAAACAAACAAAACACTTCACCCATTTCTCCTCCCCTCCCCGCAAACCCCTGCCTCTCTGTTTTCTGTATCTATGAGATTGATTTTATTATTTACTTTTATATTCTACATACAGGAGAGATCATGTTATTTATCTTTCTCTGACTTATTTCACTAGGATAATGCCCTCAAGGTCCATCCATGTTGTCACAAATGACAAGATGTTCATTCTTTTTTATGGCTAAATAACATTCCACTCTCTCTATATATACAGCACGTTTTCTTTATCCATTCACCCACTGATGGAAACTTAAGTTGTTTCCATATCTTGGCTATTGTAAATAATGCTGCAACAAATAAGGTTTATCTTCCCATGTTAATGTTTCTGTTTTCTTCCACTTACTATCCAGGAGTAGAACTGCTGAATCATGTCATAGTTCTATTTGTAATTTTTTTAAGAAATCCATACTGTTTTCCCTAGTGGCTGGACATATTTACATTCCACCAATAGTGCCCAAGCGTTCTCTTTTCTTCACATCCTCGCTAACACTTGTTTCTAGCCATTCTAATAGGTATGAAGTATTATCTCATCTCATGATAAGTTTTGGTATTTCCCTGATAATTAACGATACAGAACATCTCTTCATGTACCTATTGGCCAACTCTGTGTCTTCTTTGGAAAAATGTTTATTCAGATCTTTGACCAATTTTTTAATTGGATTGTCTGTAAGGTTTTCTTTTTAATCTATTGAGTTGCAGGAGTTCTTTATATATTTTGGACATTAGCCCCTTATGAGACATGATTTGCAAACACTTGCTCCCATTTGGTAGGTTGCCTTTTTATTTTGCTGATGGTTTTCTTTGCTGGACAGAAGCCTTTTAGTTTGATGTAGTCTAATGTCTCTTTTTGCTCTTGTTGCATTTGCTCTTGCTGTCAGATTAAAACAAATCATTGCTAAGACCTATGTCAAGGAGCTTACTGCCTATGTTTTCTTCTAGGAGTTTCAGGTCTTAGGCTTAACTCTTCAATTCATTTAAATTAATTTTTGTCTATGGTGTAGAATAGTGGTCCAGGTTCATTCATTTGTATGGGGCTGTCCAATTTCCCCAACACCATTTATTGAAGAGACAGTCCTTTCCTAGCTATATATTCTTGGCTCCTTTGTCATAAGCTAATTGACCATATATGAATGAGTTTATTTCTGGGCTCTGCATTATGTCCCATTGATCTGTGTGTGTTTTTATGTCACTGTTTTACTATAGCTCTGCAATATAGTTGAAAATCAGGGAGTGTGATCCTCTAGCTTTGTTCCTCATCTCAAGATTTCTTTGGCTATTCAGGGTCCTTTATGGTTCTATACAAATTTTAGGGTTGGGTATTCTCCTTCTACGAAAAATGCCATTGTAATTTTTTTAAATGTTTATTTATTTTTGAAAGGGTGCAAGTGGGGGGAGGGGCAGAGAGAGAAGGGGACAGAGGATCTGAAGTGGGCTCTGTGCTGACAGCAGAGAGCCTAATGCAGGGCTTAAACTCACAAGCTGGGAGATCATGACCTGAGCTGAAGTCGACTGAGCTATCTAGGTGCCCCACCATTGTAATTTTGATAAGGACTGCACTGAATCTGCTTTGACTAGTATGGCATTTAATAATATTAATTCTTCTAGCCTATGAGCATGGAATATCTTTCCATTTATTTGTGTCTTCAATTTCTTTCTTTAATGTTTTATAGTTTTCAACATATAAGTCTTTCACCTCATTTTGATGAAATTCATTCCTATGCATTTCATCATTTTTTTTAATGTTTATTTTTGAGACAGAGAGAGACAGAGACAGAGATAGAACGCAAGTGGGGGAGAGGCAGAGAGAGAGGGACACACAGAATCCAAAATAGGC